TCAGGAGGCAGAGGCAGGTGGATCTCTGTGAGTTCAAGGCCAGCCTGCTCTACATAGTGAGTTCCAGGACAGCTGGGGCTACAGGGAGACCCTGTCTCAAAAAGACAAAAATAAATAAAATGAAATAAGTTGTTGGTTTGTTTTAAAAGATGAGGTTGGGGCCAGTGAGATGGCTCAGTGGGTAAAGGTGCTTGTCACACAAGTCTAGTAACCCGAGTTCACTCCCTGGAACCTAAGGAAAGTGGAAGGAAAGAACGGACTTTCGTAGGGTGTCCTCAGACCTCCACACATGTGCGTCTTAGCAGCACACACAGATCACACACACAAATAATAAATAATAAAACAAAATTTTTAAGGGTAAGGCAAAGCCAAGGGTGGTGTCACACACCTCTGATCACAGCACTTGGGAGGCAGAGGCAGGAGGAGTGCAAGCTCCAGACTACTTGGGTTACATAGAAGACTATTTCAACAAAAAGCCCCAAAACCTTATTTACCATAGAACGTGCTAGGCGGTGCAAAGCAAAGGCCTGAAGGAGCTGACTCAGGGTCCTAAATTGGGGGGGTAGTCAGTAAGATAATACCTGCCTGACTCCTGAGTCTTCTCAAAGACTTGTGTTTAACTTTCATAGTTTAAGAAGCCATTGTAATGCTTTTCATTCCAAAGTTAAAATAAGTTAACCAGGCATGGTGGTGCACACCTTTAACCTTACACCTTGATCTCTTGAGATCAAAGCCAGCCTGGTCTACATAACAAGTTCCAAGCTAGCCAGGGCTATAAAAAATAAGGCTGGAAGCCAGGCTTGGCTTTTAATCCTACCTGGGAGGCAGAGGTGGATCTATGTGAGATCAAGGTCAGCCTGGACTACATGGGGAGTTCCAGGCCAGCTGAGGCTACAGGGAGACTCTGTCTCAAAACAAACAAACAAAAAAATTTTTAACTTTTTTTTTTTTTGATGTGTATATGTGTATTGCCTGCATGTAGGTAAGTGCACCCGTGCTGTACAATGCCCGTGGAGGCCAGAAGAGGCTGTCGGATCCCCTGGAACTGGAGTTACCAACAGTTCTTAGCTGCCATGTGGGTGCTGGGATTTGAACCCAGGTCTTCTGCAACAACAACCAGTGTTCTTAACACCTGAGTCATCTCTCCAGCCCCAAAACAAAATTTTTAAAAATACTTGTTTTCATTTTATGTGTATGAGTGTATTGCCTGCATGTATGTAAGTGCACCCATGTCATGCAATGCACTTGGAGGTCAGAAGAGGGCGTTGGATCCCCTGGAACTGGAGTTATAGACAGTTGTCAGCTGCCATGTGGGTACTGGGAATCGAACTCAGGTCTTCTGCAAGAGCAGCCAGTGCTCTTAACCCTGAGCCATCTATCCAGCCTCCAATTTTTTTTTTTTTTAAATAAAGTTAGTGCTGAAAAGATGGCTCCCTGTTTAAGAGCACACACTGTTCTTGCCAAATTTGGTTCCCAGCACCACATCCAGTGGTTCACAACCACACTAGCTCCAGGGGATCCAAAACCCTTTTTAGGCCTCCTCAGGTACCTGCACACATGTGCATATAACCACACACATACATGTAATTAAAAATAAAATAAGCTTTTAATAGTAATAAAATAAGTTATCATTCTAGAAAGGGGACTGGGATCAGGGGTCAGGAGTTGCATTGAGGCGACCTGAATCAGAGCGGGGACCCGAACCAGAGCGGGGACCCAAGGCTGCGGGGGCACACTTGCCCACTACAACTCCTGCTGGTCCCCTACCCCATGCCCCATGATTCTGTAACTTTTACCCCTGGGTACCTTCAGGGACCCTTAAGGAACCGTGACATAATAGGGACGTTGCTCGGCTGTTTCCCCTCTGACATCCACTGGAGGTGCTAATCCTACACTTCCCTGCTCCGAGTTCAGTACCTGCCACCACCCTGCCCCTGTGCGTCAGGCCTGACGCCAGCACATGGCAATAAGGAAACAGGCTGCCAGTTCACATTCCCAGGGCCCCCATCAGGCGGGTGACCCCAGAGCCGAGGCTCACATCCTACCCACTCCCACCTTGTCCCCTCCCGCTTAGATGATGTCCACAGAGGCCCGAGGAAGAGGTAGAGAAGACTTTCCTCTTGCCTTGGCACTTTCTGTCCTTAGCAGAGCCAGGCACCGAGCCAGAGCTGGCCACACAGCGGTGGACAGGGCTGAACGCTGCCCCAAGAAGTGCACAGTTCAGGCAAACAGGGCCTCAAACAAGGAACCATGTGGTAGCCCAGCCTCAGGGCCCCATAGAACTTCCTCTGACTGGGAGCTATGGGGTCCCTGTTTGCCTGTGGGCTCTGCCAGCACAGTAAGAGGACCAGGTTGTCCCTTTCCTCCCTCATGCACATGACAACAGCATGCCTCCAGCCCTCTGCCATGTGTGGGAATAAGGCCAATAGCATCTGTTTGCTGAGTTTGTAGTTACAGATAGGGAAACTGATACTTCACCCTGGGTGCCAGGGCCAGTGTTTATAGTGAGTTCAAATGGGGGAATGACCTCACTGTGTTGTTTGTCATAGTATTGTTTGGTGAGGAACTCATATGTGAGTCGAAGAGGTGCCGGGGGTAGGAGCTCCCAGCCAGTAGTTGTGTGCGTTTCTGTGCCAAGTCTCACGCTCCTACCCCATTAGAGTTTCCAAAAAAGCAGAACCAAAGGTGGGCAGGGCGGTGTGCGTGGACACAGACTTGTGTTTTAATAGTTCACTGAGGCGCGTGAGATGGCTCCA